CCTTCGGACTTCACGTTGTTTTTCATTATTCAGCACTCACCAACACGTCGTTCATCCACGTAGTGGATCCCTGGTGAGTGCTCCCGTGTGATTGCCTTCGGACTTCACGTTGTTTTTCATTATTCAGCACTCACCAACACGTCGTTCATCCACGTAGTGGATCCCTGGTGAGTGCTCCCGTGTGATTTCTTTCGGACTTCATGCTGTTTTACAACGTTCAGCCTCACCTCGCCCGGCAGGGCTGCAGACGCGTCGTTCATCCACGTAGTGGATCCCCGGTGAGAGCTCCCGTGTGAATGTGATTCTGGACTACGTTACGGACTTATCAGCACTTACCTCCGCCCGGACAGGGCAAAAGGCGCCTTCCTCATCCTCCTACGGATCCCTCCGGTAAGTGCTCCCTGCTCTTTTTGCAACTCTTGCAATCATGGGAAAATCTCTCTCTGCACCACAGAAAAATTTTTTTAAAGACCTTAAATTCCTTTTGGCCAGTAACAACCTTGCTGTTCGGAAAGCTGACCTTAAGTCCCTTATAAAAGCCCTGGACACTCACTGCCCCTGGTTCCCCCAGGACGGAAATTGGGAGTTAGACGATTGGAAAAAAATTGGACACTTCTTTCAAAATCATCCTCAGATTGATGTCAAGGTTTTGCACGCCTGGAGTAACGTCTACAAAGCTATGTCGTGCTTAACTCCTTCAAACATTCTTCTGGCTGCCGCAACAGCTTCTTCGCCCACCCTCCCAGCTCCCGCTTTGCCTGCCTCAAACATACCTCCTAAACCGCCGGACATTTTCCCTCCGGCTTCTCCCGTCACTCCCCTGCATTCTTCAAATTCTGCAGCACCCCCCGCTCTTCCACCTCCTCCGCCCAAGGCATCTGGCACTGCTTCCACCCCACTTCAAGAATCTCTCCGTGCCGCTGCTCCGTTGTTGGCTTTTGATTCTACAACTTCTAATCTTTTTCCTGTGAGTGTTACTGCCGCCCCAGGGGGAGGCCCAGCCCGGCACGAACAGTTTGATTTGAGATTCATAAAGGAACTGTATTCTTCTGTCAAGGACAATGGCCCTGCACCCCCAGCCCCTGTTATGCTGAACCAAACTGATGTTCTTGATGGCTTAACTGGCGAAGGCAATTTTCTTACTATTGCCCAACAGTTGGCCCTTGATCCCATGTATTGGACAGCTACTACTGCTGCCGCCCAAGAAGCTTTGTCCTCTGTTCCTGATGACAAGAATGAGCGCGGTGGCAGCATCAGACAGGGTCCTACAAAGCCCTATGGACAATTTGTCGATCGCTTGGATAACACTCTTAAGCGGCAAGTTCAGGACGTAGCAGCCCAAGAACTGATTGTCCGCCAGCTTGCGTTTGATAAAAATGAGGACTGTAAGCAAGCGCTGCGCCCTTTGATGACAACATCAAATATAGCCATTGCAGATATGCTTAAAGCCTGCCAGTCAGTGGGCACTGAGATGCACAAAGCTCGCCTGCTAGCCACGGCTTTGTCCTCCACCGTGCCCCAGAATCCTGCAAAGGATAAAACCTGCTTTGGATGTAGCAAAGTGGACCATTTTCGTGCGCAGTGCAGATCTACCGCACAGCAATGTCACTCCAGCACAAAGTGCCCCGTCTTTGATACAGGCCAGGACTTGTCAATTTTCTGAAGCACATCTTAGATCACATATTGGTCACCCTGGTTATTTGGCAACAGGAATTTTACGCCTGCTGAACTTCATTTCTGGAAGGAAGAAATATTGCAGCGCCCTTTAGTGTCTTACAGGTTGCTTCCAGATCCACAGTGGAAGGGTCCAACTTCTTTGATTTCTTGCGTTCGACCTTGGCGCTCTTCTGCTGCCTCGTCTTCGCCCAAGGAGACACCAGCACCTTGAAACCGTATTTTACGCTGTTTGCCGGTGATGACCTCTCACCTGACCTCAACCCGCATTGCAGTTGGAGACATCGCCATATTGATGTGCCCTGGATAAAGTCACCTTCCACAGCTGTTCCAGTGTTTCCTGGCACGTTGAAAGGCCATCTTCAACCCTATCGCGTTGGCCCCCCTTCCCCCTGGGAAGCCACCGTTTCTACCACTTATCGTTACAGTTTTGTTGCCTCTTGTTTGGGAAATGAGTCTGGCTTTGAAGGATGCCCTCGCCTGGGATTTACCCCACAGATCTCTTCTTTTTTTCTCCTCCCTCAGGAGTCCTGCCCTATGATGTGTTCCCCTGAGCATGTACAGAGGGCTGTCTTGGAACTATTGTGGACTCTTGGCTAGGGAGGGGGTGAGGGGAATTTTGGTGTGTTCCAGTTGTTTCATTTTTGTGCTTTGGCATGGTTCCCGGACAGAAAGAAAGTTGCAATATGGTTCTTTAACACGGCCTGCAAATACAATGGGCTCTGTTCTCGACCTTGTTGCAGTCTTTTTAGTTACAGCAAGCGGACTATGCTTGGCTACTGCCTTTTTTTAGCTGCTGAGAAAAATGATTTTTAAAAGCTTCTTGAAGCTTTGAGTTTTTTTTGGTGGTGGTATTCTAGCATTCCAGTACATGCTTCATATAAGATTAGCAATAATATGAAGGACAATCGTATATGTTTATCGCCTGTGTTTTGTTGCTTGCAGAAATAGTGTCTTATTGTTTTCATTTTAATCACAATAGCAAAAAATTTTTAGGTCATTATCCGTATTGTAATTGGACATATGAGTATGTTAATGGATCTTCTTGGTTTTTTATTTTTTTTTAATGTTACCACTATGAGTGATAGACCAAAGGTTTTAATTAATAATGTCACAACTTACATGACCTATGAACAACAGGCTGCGTGTAGAAATTTTTATGTTTGGTTCGACTGGATGAGAAAGAGCAGCAGAACTACATGTTTGCTTTAATCTGATTTATGGTTATTTTGTGGCACACGTGCCTACAAAGAAATCCCCTCTGCCTTTTCTGGTACTTGCACGTTAGGTATAGTAGTACCCTTGGTGTATAAAATAGATAAGCTCCCAGCGGTCCGTTTGCGTAACAGAAGGGAAGTACTATCACCTATTTCTCAATATACAGGGACAGCCATCTCTAGGTCCCTTCTGCCTTCTTTAGGTGCAGCCATGAATTACCGTGATTTGCATAAATTGGCAAACTGGACAGAAAATTTGTTTAATTCCACCATTTTGGCTTTAAAAATGATTAACAAAGAAATATCAGAAATAAGAAATGTAGTTCTTCAACATCATTATGCTTTAGATGTGATCCTTGCTTCTAAAGGTGGAATTTCTGCCTTAATTCATTCTCATTGCTGCATGTATATAACTGATCAATCGACCAATATCTCTGCTACTATTGATCATATGGAACAAATGATAGCCCATAATCCTTTGAATCCACCTGAAGGTTTTGATCCATGGGAGTGGTTGTCTTCTTGGTTACCTAATGGATTATGGTTAAGAAAAATATTATTGATTGTAATTGCATGTATTGCTGGCTTCATTATGGTGTGTTGTTGTATTCAATGCATACCCTCTTTGATTTCCCAATGCACTGCATGGTGGTACTGACCACGGCCCACCACAGGGGTTACAAGAGGAATTTATGTTGCAAAGTGTAGACACGTAGGCAATGAAGTGTACGATTTGGACTAATGGTCCCTCTTTTCCTCTAATAATATAAACAAGAAAAGGGGATATGTGGGAAAATGATTGCTTGTACATGAGAGCATGAGCAAAGTTCTTATTGTTACAGGGTGATTTCATAGCTAGAAGCATCCTTGGAGCATGAACAGCGCGTGAACAGCTCGTGCTGTCCCATATGATTGGCTAACGTAGCATGGCCTGATCGCTCGCATGGTCTAGTACCAAGGTCTTTATCTGCTGGCTAGAACAAATTGCTTGGCTTGTATTTTTTGTATCTTTCTTTGTATCTTTCTATTTCACACAATAAAAGCTGTGCTGCATTAGCCCTAGGAGCAGCCATATTTCGGAACCTATCATGGTGTGAGACTGATTTTCCTCTGAATGCCGAGCTGCAACTCGACATGCTCACACATATATAAAAGTAATGTGAATACTGATAGATTCTGAGATGCAACATGCACTGTGCCTTCCCCTACCACAAATAAGTAGCAAATTGATATTAAAACTGTTGATCTGGATAAACCCTTGCACTCCATCTCTTGCTGCCTCTCCAATGTTTGCAATATGTTAGAATGGATGGGTATAGCTAGAAGCAGTGTGAGCCAAGATAAGTGCCAACTCCCTTCAAAAAAGAAAACTATCCAAAGCTGTAAAGACTCAAAGCAGATGGTGCCTACATGATTACACAAAAAATTCTTACAGAAACTTATCTCTAACCACTACACAGCAGACTGTCAAACGTCCAGCACTTATTATCCCTATGTACCACCGGACAACAAGACAATTTCTTTGTGGGAGGGATGTACTCCTAAGTTAGAGAACTAGCACTTTTGCAGATCTGCTCAAGGGCAGAAAAAAAAGCCCAGACTGAACCAGATGGAAAGTGTGTGTATACAAGTGGTGCATCATCATTTGCACTCTGGGAAACAAATAAAAAGGCCCCAAAACGAAGCAACCTACAAGGCCTTTTTCAATTACGGTACTATGTCTCTTTTCCCAACCCTCTGCATAAAGAGTGATCATAAACCAATATCTGGCTTGAGAATTCCCTCACTGGGCACTGTACTTCTCCCATCTCCTAAATGAAGGAGATTCCATGATGAAACTCACATAGGATCTCCTATTGAAGCCATTGCCTCTTAGATGCAGTAAGGAATAGGAGGGGAGATATTCTGTGAACTCCTTGAAACACTGTGTTGATTCCTAGATTGGTTGGAAGAGTCGATTTACTGCTGCTCCATGTGAAGTAATAAAATACAGCAATCCAGAGAAATCTAAAATTAGCAGAAAACTGCTAGAAGTAAACTTATTTGCTGCAGAAATATTTTTAATCCTTGGTACATTTTAACCTAGCTGCTTACCAAATGAAATATTACCTGCATCATAGGATACTTTGCTTCAGCAGGACTTCCAAACCCATTAACTCCGATGAAGCTGGTGCTGAAGTAGGAGTCTGTAAGACTAGCTTCAGCCAGGGCACCTCCATCCATGCCTGCAACTAAGAAAAAGAATAATCATTTAAAACTATCAGCTTTGCAGACCCTTCCCTGGCCCCAGGAACGTAAGACGCAAAAAGGTTTTACTTCTCAGAATCAGCCCTTTCCTTAAAAAAGTGGCCCTAATGGTGCTGTGAAGCTTTTTTTTTTTTTGTAATGATCTCTATGTGATCTTTTATATGTGTAATGTAATGTTTTTACTTCTGCCTGCCTAAATATACACACACACTTCTGTGAAACAGGAAAAAGCTGCTGTGGTAGGTCACTAAATAAGGATGACTACTTTGCAATTTCTCACCAACTTGGGAGTGAAAAGCAGCCGTGCTGGGCAAGATACGAATGACAAAATGCCCTACCACAACAATAGTTATATGCACAGGTAACACTGTGCTGTGTTTTGTTTAGCAAAATGTGCAGCCTGAACATATGCCTCTTTCACACACACACACACACACACACACACACCCTCAGCATCAATATTGCTTTAACCAGGTGAAGGAAGGGAACACATGTGCAAACCTGCCGCCTCCAGGGCTACTTGTCCCTATGCCGCAGGGACAAATAGAAATGAATAAGCGAAACAAGGGCTGGAAAACCATGCACCATGTGACTGGTGGTACATATGAAATTAAGTAAAGGGTCAGAAATGTGTTTAAGGGTCTCAAGTAGAAATGCACTTTTTACCACATACTGAAAAAGTAGAAATGTTAACTACTAAGCACAGCAAATGAAAGTGAGAAAGAGCTAACGGCAGGATGTACAGAAGAGATAATGTTCAGGAAATACCTGCTACTGAAGGTACCTGCTGAAGTGCTGTTGAAGAAGTAGGTTTTAAAGAAAGAAAGGGAGACAGATGAGACAATGGAGCTTGTTTTGGAATAGTACAGCAAAAGGCAACAGCAGGAGAAGGAAACAAAGAGCCTGTTCAGGTGTTATCCCAGTCTCACTCATCACCAAGATTCATTATCCTGGGTAAGGAGAACATGTGTTAAAATACCCATAGGCTCTGCCAGTTGAGATACCAGTTTCTGGATGTGGGGGAGGAGTTATGGTGAGGACCATTTGAACCCATAACCTTCTCCTAATCTCATGACAAAGATGGCAGAACAACCTAACAGGCCCAAAGAGGGATTAAACAACAGGTGTTATGTTCTTATTAAGAAGCCCTACTTGAATCTTTAGTTAATGAAATTGTTGGCTCCATCACTTTTAGCGTAAGTGAAGTCCGTAACCGTATAGGTTGAAAAAAATTAACGTTCAGTTCTGTAGAAAGGTTACATCACTCTTTTTTTAAAAAAAACTGAACGGGTAGAGCTGTGAAATCTAGTGAAAGTGCACCAGACACAATTTTCAGGGTTTTTTAACAACAACTTAACATTTTCAGCACATCAGTTTTCAAGCCGAGTAGAGCATGAAAAAAATTAACAAAATCTTGTTACTTGCAATCTGCGCTCAAAATCTGCATTAATAAATAGGAGGGCATATATAACTAGAGGAAATTGTTTTTAGTTTAGCAGGGACAGTGTTGGTTATGTGGAGCTTAGGGCTGACCTATTTCTGCTAGAAACCTCAACCATATGTTTGTATCAAGAGCATTATTTGTGTTCCTCAGCACTGTGCTAACTCACTACATTGAGCAAGAATGCTGCATCTTATGTTCTTTGCCCCACCAATATGACTGTGAAAACAAAGCTCTTCAATATATCTTATTTTACAAATAACCAGAGCCTGTGTTAGAGGACAGTTGACAATTATTGCTTTTAGATGCCTTAAATTAAAATCACTTCTAGCTATGAAATCACCCTGTAACAATAAGAACTTTGCTCATGCTCTCATGTACAAGCAATCATTTTCCCACAAAGGCATATATCAGTTATAGCCTTTTGAAAAAAGACAAACAATGGGGAAGCATTTTCTCCTAAATGCTAAACGATTGTATATGTCACCCAATCCTAAAAGCACAAGACAACTAATATGCTTATAGTTAGGCAACTGAACACATAAAACAAAATAGGCAGTAATTTTAAGTAGCTTCCTATCGGCTTAGTTCCAACCCACTAGAAAATATATTCTGCTGTTTAAAAAAATCTACAGAAATTGGCTTTGGTGAAATGCCAGGGAAACAGTTCCATCATTGTGGGCAGCCACTGAGCAAGTCCTCTATGTGTCCTTACCATTCAAACATGGGTAACATATGGCAATGTTAAATGAGTAAGAGTGGTAAATGCTATATATTAAACAAGATCAACCTATACAACCAGTAACCTGGAAAATGAATTTATCTAAAAGAAAGCTAGTAAACCTCCAAATGCCGAGAATTCTCATATTTTGGTAGTCAAAAGCCCACACCAACTGGCCTTAAGCCAGCGGTCTTGAGCTATTTCAGTCTTGGGACAAATGTAAGATGGAATTCATATTTTATTTTTTTTACAATAATGTATGTACATGCACATGCACATACCTTCTTTTCTGCTTCTTTTCATATCCTCCTCTGTCTCTCAGACAACTATGCATTCACCACTAGAACATCTATCTCAGACAGCAGAGTGGGGGTAAATTTTGAAGTTCAGGAGCTCATTATGGCTAGCCCCACAGTCGCACTCCCAAGGAGAGTCCAAAGAGCACAGGCAGCTGTGTTGTGCCGTTATTAAACTGGTTCCCAAATTCCACTCCCACATAGGCTTCTTGAAAATTGGTGAGGGTCTTGGAGGACCACTTAAAGGTTTTCTGCCTACTTTAGAAACTGTAATGCACCGTGCTAGATGCTTGAATTTTTAACTGTAATGTTACACACCCCAGACAATCTGAATAAAGCTCACTGACCACTACATTATTATATTACGCACCTAGTTTCCTGGGAACCAAAGTAAACTATGTAACTCAGCAATGCTTCTTTCTAACTGCATAGAGTCAACATGTTAAACCACTTAACTTTAACATAAGATATTCCACTAGCTGAAATGCAACCTTTAATTTTTAATTAGAAATTAAGATTATCTTGCAAAGAAGCATTGCCATTTAAATTACTGGTGTGAAGCATGAATCCTATCAAAGAAAAAGAAAGTAGTAAGCAGCCTATGATTATTTCCCTCATTCTCGAACTACCTCCAGACAAATGTCACAAAATTGCTAGACCCATTACAATCTCCTTCACTTGCCAAAGCAAGGAACGCCCCTTAAAGACCCTGGCACTCCAGCAGATGACATCATTATTCCTGTTCTGAGAAGAGTACCAGAGCTGCATGCTCTTCCATTACATCACCAATTTTTACTCACTCCATAACCAGGTTCTGTGTCACAGTAACCCACCAACTGTACTGAAGAAAACTTTCATTTTTCCTCTTTAACACTCTAAGAAGTGCTTTAAAAGTCAAAATTAAATCATTCCTGGCTACTGGGAAGGTTTCACACTAAATAAAATTATACTGAAGGCGAAGAACACAAAGGGATACAAATAAGCCACTTTCTCAAGCAGTGTCATGAGTTGAAATACAGGCATCCCCACACTTATGCAGGATCACTCGCATGCAACTGCTTATACACACAGCACTGGGAAATAAATAGAGTAGTACCAGGAAAGAGCTGGAGAGCCCTCTTGGCTCATGAGGGCATCCAAAGAGGACGTCAGTGAGGTTGGAGGCAGCTCCGAAGAGATCAGAGGCACAGCGGGGCTTTATTTAGGCTGCTTAGCTTCCCTGCCTAACAGCTGATGCATGGGTCAACATCCACAGCCACTTTTTTGCACGTCCTCCAACCTCCCCCCAGAGGATTGGATTGGAGAGAGCTGTACAGTAGGAAAAAACTGGTGCTTATAGTCTTTTCAGAGGGTGCTCCCCATTTACGCGATTTTCCCCTTTGTGCGTGGGGGCCTGCAACGTAACCCCCACTTAAGTGGGGGAGGGTTGCCTGTATATATGCATCAGGGCTAAATATCTGTAATAGCAATTATTGGCCCGCTTATATCTGAAAGTTCCATGGAAGGCCTACTTGCCAGTAAAACTTAGACAAGGCAGTGCAAGGAATTCATCTAAAGATGTAAAGTGTTCAATCCAATGCACATGTACTCGGAAGTATTACAAAACTGCAGCATGAGCCTCTCCCAACACCAGCATTACTTAATAACTGTAGGGCAAAAAGGTAAAGGGACCCCTGACCATTAGGTCCAGCCGTGACCGACTCTGGGGTTGCGACACTCATCTCGCTTTATTGGCCAAGGGAGCCGGCATACAGCTTCCGGGTCATGTGGCCAGCATGACTAAGCCGCTTCTGGCGAACCAGAGCAGCGCACGGAAACGCCGTTTACCTTCCCGCCGGAGCAGTACCTGTTTATCTACTTGCACTTTGACGTGCTAGGTTGGCAGGAGCAGGGACCGAGCCACGGGAGCTCACCCCGTCACGGGGATTCGAACCGCTGACCAGCAAGTCCTAGGCTCTGTGGTTTAACCCACAGCGCCACCCGTGTCCCTACCTGTAGGGTAGGGGGTTTCTAAATTGTGGCACACAGATGAACAGTCAGTAAACTTCATTCAGGTGGTCCAAGGCAGCAACTTCAGCGTCTAGCACAGCACATTACAGCACATTACAATTGCTAAATTGCTAAATAACAAGCTTCTTCCAGTGCTTTATCCAGTCAATGCCCTAGTATTTTAACAGGTGTGCTCTCTCTCTCTTACTGGTACTGAAGTAAAAAGACAATATTTACCTCTCTAGCCAGTTTAAATTATCTCCTGTTCCCAGAAACCTTAAAAGCCTCCAATTATCTTTTGCAATCAGATATCTTAGTCAGCCCCATGAAAGGTTTGAACTAACCTGTCTAAAGTATTATTACTGTCTTCACAGAGGAAGTCTACTCATCTACTCTAGTAGTTAATACAGCTGAAAACACTACCATCTGCCTACCAGTTTTAATTCTATCATCCCTTCTTCTGCTCTTCCCCATTTCCCCAACAAAACCAGGCAGCTTCTATTTATTTCTCTACATTAATACTGATTTTCTCTAAATGCAAATCTTCATATACATTCAAATTATAAGACCTCCCCCTCTGAAAACTCAGTGGTATCTACGATCTAGAGTCACTAGCATTGCTATCCATTAAATAAATCATACAGCATTTAGAGTAATCTAAATTATCATATTTTTAATTCATCATTGTATTATTTATTATTATTTATTAACTTTGTATACTGCCATTCATCTGAAGATCAAGAGTGGTTCACAACTTACTATTCAAGATTTTCTTGTATTTAGGCCAAGTGACCAAATATGTAGCATACTGTACTTATACAGAAACTATACATCAATCACTAAAGTAATCACACTTGAACTGTCACACATACTTGGTATGGTACCTCTATCAGAAGTACAAAAACTGTACAATCATATGTGCGTTTATACAGAAGTCCCAAACTTTCAATGTGACTTACTCCAGTGTAACTGCACATACGGTTGCAATCTTGAACATATATTGTACATTCTCAAACTGCACCAGAGTAATCAAAATGATTGAATACCTTGCAGCTGTGATAAAACTTGTTTTCATAAAGCAACAAAAAATAGTCCATTTTAAAATTACTTTTAATGAATGGATCCTGCTTCCTTGTTTTTCCTTGGTACCAATCTAGTCTAATATATAAGATTCAGTAATTAAAAGCACTCAGTATCAAATGTTACACCTTCCACAAAATTACTTCAAACGTGCTACCATAGATTCCGGCGTATTAGGTGACTGGGCGTATTAGACGACACCCCCCCAAACTGGCAGCTGCAATTTGGGGGTTCGTCTTATAAGCCAAGTCTTATACGCTGGGCAGCAGCAGCGGGCGGCGGGCTCCGCTCCGGGAGAAAGCTTTCTCCTGGAATGGAGCCCGCCGCCCATACCCGGCGTATAAGACGACCCCCGACTTTTAAACCTCTTTTCCGGGGTTAAAAAGTCGTCTTATACGCCGGAATCTACGGTACATAAGATTAGGTCTCAGTGAACCTCATTAAACAGATATTAATGTCCAGTCTGCACTTGAGCAACAGAAACTTTTATTATTTCAGCATTAACCATGTTGATTTTAAAAGAAGTTATATACATTAAAACTAACCTTAAAGACACTAAATCATAAACAAATTGGTATGATACAGAACAGCTGCTTTTTAGGTGGCATGCAAAAAAAAAAAATCGGGTTATTTCTCCCTTGGCAACTATTTTAATATGTGTTGGTCTATAAATACACAGATGAGTCTTCTGAAATCATCCATTTAAGTTGAATAATTGTACTGAATAATATAAACATAAAAAGCTAGAATTAATTTCATTCCAGATCCAGGTATTATTTTTAGGTGCATCAGAGCACTGTTTAATATTAATATTTTCTTAATTCAGCTCCAAAGTTCAAGCACTGCTTTTTTATTTTTGTTCCAAATAACTGATTGGCACATTTCAAAGATGTTCTTTTGGGTTGCTGACACCTTGAAAGTAGTCCTGTAAAATATGTCTCTTTATAGCTGAGAGGCTATCATGCAGCTATCATGACAAGACCTCTTTTGAGCACAAGACAACTCAGCATCTCTGAAAAGACAGTGTAATGCAGTAACAACTGCTGCTGCAAATTTTGTAGGAATTCAGCACACAATTACGGATGTGAAATGTAATTTGCACAGAGCATTTGAATCACATGGCATAGGCTATAACATATAGAAAGCAATAGCTTCTCTTTAGTGGTCAGAGGCTTGTTTGCAACAGCACAACACATGGCCAATTGCTGTCATGTGCTTTATCTATGCCCAGCAAAAAGATGGCAAGCGTTCTTGTTTCTAGGCTCATGTGGTCTACCAAAGGCTGTAATCCAGACCCCTGGGTGACATTAGCATGGCTTAATGGTGCAAATGGAAATGCCTCTTTGTTGTGCAGCTTCCAGGCTGCTACAGTGAAGCAGCTTGGATCAAGCCCATTGCCATCAGATGACAGCAGCAGGCCTGGCTTAGGATCCAGTAGATCCTGCGGTGGCTTAGCCCTGCCTATCCCCCAAATACCAGATTTCAGGGGTTTCTACTGACCACCTCCATTTGGGTGGGTGCAACAGAGTACTAATTGCTGGAGGAGGTCACCAAAGATACCTCTGCCCCATCCAAACTTCCTCTAGGACAGCAGATCTGTAGATTATTGGAAACCTCTGGCTTTAGCTTACTAAAAACCAATACAATAAAATGCAACTAATTTTTCTTAAATTGTAACTCTCTTACTGTGTGGCTTATGTCCAATTAAGATAAACACTTTTGCATCCAATTTGCAGAGTATCACCATGAAGACACCTGATGATTGCAAACTAGAAACTTTATTATTTAGATGAAGTAACACAAACAAGTCAGCAGAATCTAATATGTAACTATGGGATAAAATGGGGCAGCAGACTAGAATGCATGAATGGTGCAATTCACATGACTACATTTTCCACAACACAATCCCATTCTGTAATCCCCTCAAGGCATCAATCAATCAGTATTCAAACCCTAAAAAAGGAGTTCAAAGTCAGTTTAGCAGCCATACTACTATCCCATTTCCAGCCACCCAAGAAAAATCATTTTTAAAACGTTCAAAATGAGTCACTTGCATTATCTTAGTTGTTATCCTTACTACAACTTTGTAAGGTAGCTCAGTATTACCATACATATTGCTGGTGAGACAGCTGAGGCAGAGTGGCTTGCTTAAGGCCACCTAGTGAGTTCAATGGCAAAGGCAACACTCATAGCTCAGTCTCTACACCAGCTCTCTAGATCAGGCTTCCTCAACCTCGGTCCTCCAGATGTTTTGAGACTACAATTCCAATCATCCCTGACCACTGGTCCTGCTAGCTAGGGATCATGGGAGTTGTAGGCCAAAAACATCTGGAGGGCTGAGGTTGAGGAAGCCTGCTCTAGATCATACAAGCACTGGGCTGATTCACAAACCTAAGTTCTATGTGGGCTTCCACTGCAAGATGAATACACAAAGCCACTTTTCGGTGGGAAAAACATCCATGTAAAGCTAGCTTTTTTAAAAATAAGCAACCATTCTAGCAATTGTAAGTAACTGCTGGTCATACCTGCAGTCTACCCTGCTTGAATTAGACAGGTACACTGCTAGTGACAGTCAATTATTTGAAGAGATTCATTCCTTAGGAATGTTTCATCTTGAACATTCTACCAAAAAGGGAAATTTGTACCAGTCGCTTTTTGTGTAATGTGTGTATGAGAAAATAGGTACTAAAGAACTCTTGTTTTTATTTATTCCTCTGAAAATTTGAACCAGAACATTTTTATTTACCTTTTATTCATTTCTTCTAACAGTCTGCAGGTGATTGAGAGTTCACATTTAAACATTTGATCAAATCTAGAGCTGTAAGCACAAGTTGACACGAAGCGAGCAGAGAAACCTACAGCTTTGTTGACAGGAAGAGCATGACAAGTCGTCAAGCCACACTTCAAAATATCTCCCAACAAGCTTTGTTGATTCATTTTTACATAGTGCTGACTGATTAGCAGCATCTTCCCATCAAATAACTTGAGGTGTTACGACAATGTTTGTTTCATCACATCTGGAACACTTGCAGAAGGAGCTAGCGGTGCTTTTGAGTGTGGCGGGGGAGCCAGGTCAAGTTCTCACAACTTATATTCTCAAGTACTCCACTCCATTGCAGCACAAAGAAAACCACATTATAGAAGCGGGGGGACGGGGGGGGGGACTGACAGACCAGGATTACTAACCCAAACCCAGGATACACTTGGTGGATTCAGAGCATATGGATGCTGCACTAAGCTATCAATCCTGTCTGGATTTTCTGAACGGGCAAGAAATTGTGTCTCCCACAATCCTCCTTAGCAGTTGGTTTTATTTTTAAGTCGTTCTATCATACACCCCACCAACATACTTAGTTCCAATCTCCTTACCATTATATATATCTCACCACACCTATTTTTGTCACTTTTTTCCAAGAATCTGTGTGTGTATGTTTGTGCACATTATTCGTTATCAGGATTCACGCGACACCCCCTTACTCTACCTGCCATGGAGCAGCATTAAAGAGCTTCGCCCTCTCCCGTTTTCAACACATTTTACCTCACACGTCGAAGGTTTCCAATCCCTCAGGGGAAGCAGGGAAACGGCCTCGGTGAGCCACCCTCCTAACACCCACCCTCTTCCCGAGCATCTCGACTGACACAGCCCTGGCTCCTCGGTGGGAAGGCCGTGGGGCCTGGGCCTGGGGCCAGAGACTCACCTGGAGCCTTTCCCGGTCCCTCCCTCCCTCCCCGCCTCGATGCTCCCCGTCGCCCCGCACTCACTGGCCAGCCGGGGCCCGTCCAGCCCCGCTCCGCCGCCTGCTCCGCCGTGGCCGCATCCTGCGCCTCCTCCCAAGAGCTCGGGGGGTTTCTTAGGCCCCGCCACGGGCGCCGCTGCCCCATGCCCGGAGTAGCCGCCGACGTGCCCGGGCGAGGCGGCCACGGCCGGGGCAGCGGGGACCGGAGGGAGCCCGAGCGGGAGCCCGCCGAGGGCCACAGGGGGTGGAGGCCCAGGGCAGGCGGCCGAAGCTCCGCCGGGCTCCTCGTGCAGGAACTGGCACTCCTCGCCGTAGAAGCACGTCTTGTCCTTCGCGTAGTAGCGGCAGAACTTCAGCTTCACCCCGACGGGAGCCGCCGCCGCCGCCGGCCCGGGGGGCGGCCCCACCGCCGCAGCCGCCACCGCCGCCGCGGCAGCCGCCACCACCGGGGAGGAGCAAGGGATCCCGCCACTGTTCATGGCGGCCGCTACAGCAGCGCGGGCAGGGCCGAGGCCGCCTCCGGTGGCACCGCCGCTGCCGGCCGCAGCACCATCGGGGGAGAGGCAGGCGGGCGGGCGGCGGCGGCAGCCCGGGTCCGGTCGCCGCTGTCACAGCCCCGAGTTCCGGCGTCGGCGGGGGAGCGTCGCAGGCGGGCAAGGGCGCGCAGAGAGGGCCGCGGGCGCTTCTCTCAAGTGGGTCGGGCGAGCCCGCCGAGGAGTCCGAGGCGAGGGATGGGCCCGCGGCGGACGCGGGAAGCTGGGCCCTCGGCCAGGCTGATTGATGGTCCGGCGGCGGCGGCGGCGGGGTTGTTTATTCCATTTTCCTCTTCCTGAGCTGCCTCCTCGGTGCGCCTGCGCCGCACAAGGGCCCGCTGGGTAATCCGGGCCTGGAGCAGGCGGAGGCGCGTGTGGAGGCCCAGCCCTTGCGAGGGAGGAGGCGGGGGAGAGAGAGGCAGAGGAGGTTTCTACCGTCACAAGCGGCGCTGCTCCCATCTCACGGCCTCCGAAGCCCGCTTTTTAAGATTTCTCACGGGCAGTGCTCCCCTTAGGGTCCGCAGAAGCTCTCCTCTGCCGTTTCTTTCGCCCAGGATAGCCAGACACTCGGCCGCCTCGGGACAAGCTCTTCGTGTTGAGCTGGGCTTTAGTCCGAGGGGAGGGAAGTGGCGGCCTCCCAGCTGTTGTCGGGCTGCAGGTCTCCTTCTCCCTAACTGTTGGGCGTGCTGGCTGCGGCTGGTGGTGGTGGGAGCTAGGAGTCCCCACGTTCCTCACCCCGGCTTTAATCCGTGAGCACGTGGGGCCCCCAGTTTTGCAGCAGCCACTGTTAGGGCTGGGCAAATGCGTCGACTTTGGTTGCTCTCATTTTCTTATTTTTCCAGTCTTTGTTCTCCACGTCAGTTTGTGGTGTATGTGTGTATACATGCAGTTAAAAGTTATCACAATTAATTGGCATTTTAATGCGAATTTATCCTAATGGAGTTGTATTGTAATTTCCCCTAACATATAACACTTTTGCAAAGCACTTTCCCCTATTGCAATGCGCTTTGATTTCATTTTTTGTAATAAATGCGTTTTGATGCACAATTTATCATGGGTGTAGTCAGGATTTTTGTTAGGTGGGGTGGGACAGAAACAACGTGATTGGTCAGTAGAGTACTGTATTTCTATTGTTTTACTTGATCAGGTTCTAAATAAATCTGCAGGTTACAGCATAAGTAACTGGAGGGCCTTATTCAATTAGCTTGGTGAGCGGACATATTATTTTTGTTAATTTATGAGTTGCCTTTCATATAAAATGTCTCAAGACAAAGACACAAATGGGTTTTTAAAGCAGTACAAAAACAAGGTAGGTAGGTTCAAAAGCAATACATAATGAACACAACACCTTTCCTATAGATATAGTGACTGTTGTTTACGGCTATGTAGGTAACAACAAAAATGTTTAACCTGTTTATTTGGTGTAGTTTATTTGCTGCTAATGTAAATTGTGCTGCTAGATAGGATTTCTCATTAAGCACCTTCACTGTTGCTTTTTGCAAAAACAGAAATACACTTAGCAAACTTGGTGCATGTGCTGATTTGGAGTAAGAAAACCACTTACAGAAGGTTAAGCACCTTTCCATCCCCACATGGGCATAGCCTGGATTTAAAACCTGGAGCTGCTTCCTGTATAGTGTACCTGTATAATATATCAATAATATATTCTACAAGCTTATAAAACATACTGGGTGCACACCTAAAAATACAAGGTATGTATACATTATGCTCAGGGCCTTTTTCCGCAGAACTGATAAAAATATAACAACCCACAGTATCTTAATACAATAAACACATTCATAATAATAAGGGAATGAATTGTCCATTCAATAAGTTCATCAAAATATAAGCAAAGCAACAATCAAGCCAATTGCCTAAATCAATTACTTGATTATAAGAATATTACAAATAGCTGATGAAACTATTCCTAACTATTGTAATTCCAAGTTACTTCGCTCCATCTGTTGTGCTCTCATCTTTTCACGGGTTCTGGCACCTGTTAAGTGGTGGGGATATTATTTGGCATTTTAGCAACTTGGGTACGACATCACACAAATGGTTCTTTTTTTTTTTTTGTCACCACACCACCCTTTCAACTAGACTGTAGTTTGTGCACCTGATAGTCCTCTGGCCTGGTTTAATGGCTTATTGAGCTTATTAAGCCCTTGTTATGGCTCTTTTAACAGCTGTGCCTCCCTAAATTGCTTCATCTCCTGCTTTCCTTTCAGTGGGGTGAGGATCCTGGATTCCCACGTGCTCTGTAGCTGAGTTGAAACCATTATACTCTTCACATCCCTGCTTAAATTGCCATTGAGATTTCTTGTTGGTTGCTTGGCCCTTTTGAGCTCTACAGTTTCACCCCCTGGGGTTATTTGGCAATACAAACACATAGAAAAGGAAAAGGTGCCTGCAAAAATGTTGATAAGGATAGTTGGAGTAAACAACTAGGGTTTCTTGGGTGTTCAGCCTGAATTGTTTGCAGAGATTAGACGGTGGCTATATAATGAGCATTCATCCCAATTTGCAGATAGGTTAGAATCAGATCACATCCACACCAGGCCTTTAAAGCACATTTTTTCCCCCGCCTCAAGAATCCTGCAAACTATAGTTTACCTCTCACAGAGCTACGATTCCCCTCACCCTTAACCAAATGTAGTTCCCAGGTTTCTCAGGAAGGCTTGCACTGTGGCTGTAGCTGTCATGTCACACAAGTGCTATCCCACGGTTTCAAGTTCTTTTTTCCATCACGTTCCTTATCACAGAAGTCTGATCTTTTGGGAAATCATGTTTGTTCTGCAAGAGCTACAGATCAGCTTTAATTATGGAGCCTGAATTTGCCAGGGTGTGGTTGAATCCCACTCAGAATTAGTGACAGTCTTGAAGTGCTCTAGGATAGGCTGTGACTTAGGACCAGCTAGGTGACTATCAGGCATTGGGGATCCAATCCAAATCTGTACTTGGCAGGGGAGAACTTCCAGACTGCCACTGTTTTCGGGTGCTGTTCAATCACATCCCTGATATGCACTAATAACTATCTCACTTCTCCAAGCAATAGTCCTCATCTAGCCAAAATGATACCATCTCTACACACAAGAGAGAGTTAGCAGCAGGTTTGGGGAAACCCGAAAATTTTCAGAAAAATAAAAATGTTTCCTTAAGGCAAGTGGAATGAGAACTGAGCATTCTCAGTGACCTGGAATGCTGTGTGACTCTGGGGACGGAGGACAAATCAGGTGGGCAGGCGAATGGTATGGAGTATCCCTAGAGGAAGACATGACCGACTGACTGAACAGCGAATAGGAGCACTCCACGCCTCAACATTTTGTTGCAGGACATGCTCCTTTACTTTGTAAAAGCCATTCAGAGAATTGCTTACAATGTGGCAAATTACTTTGCCTAATTTGGCCTTCAATCCCTAGCAAGGAGAAATTCTGTCAAAAGAGAAGTTCATGTGCTAGACGGGCTACAAATTTTCGCAGCGAAAATATTTCTGCAAACCAAACAGCTTTTAAAACCTATCCACGCATACCACAGAGTGGCGTGCTACTTCCACTCAAGCATCATGTTCAGTGGAAATATTGTTCGCGCCAAAAAGAAGAAGATGAGAAACCTACTTTGGTTTGATGTTAAATGCCTTTCACTATCGACTTCTGCTCAGCAGATAAGCGCAATCAAAGGTTGTGGTCCTCAAACCATTTCCCCTCCAGAATAGGGCTGTAGAAATTAATGACATCTCAGGTGGATTCACACTTTCATTTCCCTTATCAGAATACTTTGTGAGTTATCCACAATAACTCATACAACCACAAGTGTCAATGAGCAATTTCTGGAAGCATACGTAGATATACCACATCAATGAGAAGCAGCTGTAAGCAACCCTTTTATATATGTGTGTGTGTCTGTATGTAGTGTGTTCCTGTGTTAACAGATATGTGGTATGGAGATAGCAAAACTGCTGATTTTGGGTGTGTAAAATAAATCCATCCTAAGCACTTGACGACTGACACCTTACGGGAAGAAGGACCTGCTACTCTCCATATGTTGTGGTTAAATTTATTACTTGCGCTTCACCAGCAGGTACTAAGGAGGGTTACAACAATTTAAAATTCAAAGCAGTTAAAACAGATTGCCGTAACAGGTATATGGTGGACCCCGAAAAAACATGTCTCAGGAATCAAAGTCCAAGGTAAAGAGGTGTGTCTTCTGCATTTCCTGGCAGCTGTATAGTGAAGAAGCCAAATGCATCAACTTAGGTGCTGTTACAGAGAATGCCCTCTCCTGGCCCATGATTCCTCAAACTTCTGAGGGAGGTGGAACTACCAAGAGGGCCCCCTCTTTCGTTGGACGCCATCAGCTTCAGCCAGCATGGTGAATAGTCAGATTATGTTTTAGTCCAGCAATTTGTGGAAGTTCTCCACTCGTCTCTTACAGCCTTGTCCAGCATCCAATTAAACTAGGATATCTGGATTTAAATGTGCTTGGTCAATGAGAGAAAGTTAGTTTCAGTTCAAGGGTCCTGATTTAAGTGGGGTTTTGGACTTGAGCCCAAATTTATCTGCGGACAGAATCCTTCAGTACATGGTGATGATTACAAACGCTGATGTTGCCATGAGCTATCTAAAGCCTCACTTTTATTAAAAGTTTGCCTCATTCTGATAATTCAGTGACATGTGTCATTTGAATATAAAAGCTCTGCTTAGATACCTGACAATTATGGGAGTATCATACCTATCATATTTAGTTATTATAATAGCTATGAGGAGGCCTCTTCAGGGTTCTTCCTGGGAAAAAAAAAGAAGCTATTTCAGGTTCACCCTCACCCCCCGCCGCTTTTTTTGAAGAAGTGGTTTACGCTACACAGGCTGCAGTTTCAGACCCTGAGCTCTAACAGAAGCACACCACAGCTATGAGCATGCATCAAGCAGGCACCTGGGCCAGCAGAAGCCAACTTCAGCTGCTTGGTAAGCATAACCACTGACTTCAGTGGAACCAGGATGAATGCTCTGGCCTCCTGTTTGCTTTGGATTCTAGCTGAAATCATGCCATTTTCTCCTTTCTTCTTCCCATCCAGATGTTCCCTCTCTCTTTTCCCACCTGTTGCATTCATTCCCTCCCTCTCTGAACTCTTCTTTCCCCCATTCCCTCTTTTTCTACTTCCTTTCCCTCCTGTCTCCTTGTCCTCCTTACCTTTCCTCTTTCCCTTCCATTCTCCTTGCTGCTCCTATACCTTTCTCTTCTCTCAGTTTTCCCTAACTAGAGAGAAAGGTTTTGCCAACATAATGGATGCTTAAAGGCTACTGATTGCTTATGAAAGAGGTAATGCAATGACTTCCACTAGAAGAACTTCTCTTGGCACAGTTGCAGTGGAAACTGTCAAAAGGCAATGGGGCCAATGTTTTCGTAAGGAAGAATGGAAGTGGTGATTCATTATTAGCAGTGGTCAACTTGGGACTTTCAAATTTCAGCAGCAATGCCGAAATTCAGCGCTTCTTCTAGTCCATTCTGAGTCCTTGTTGTGGTGCCCTCTGCAGCACTCAGTGCAGGCAAACTGGTCATACACCTCTGCTCTCAGATTAGATTTGGGCTGCGTTGTCAAGTGATGCAAACAGTGCGTGTTCATGAAGCTGCAAGCCTTAGATCAAGGATGAGGGAACTATGGCCCTCCCGATGTTGTTGGACTCCAGCTTCCATCAACCCTAGCCAGCATGACCAATAATTGTGGAGGATGGGCGTTGTAGTCCATCAACATCAAGAGGGACACAGATTCCCAAACCAAGCCTTGGAGCATTATCAAAACATGATTTTTCAGTCTACGGCAGTGCTTCCCAAACTGTGGTCCCTCAGCTTCATTCAGGTGGTCCATAGCATGTCCACATTAAATATTCATAGTGATTCTCAAATGTATTTTTTACTCCTTTATTTCTTTTATTGACTTTAATTGTATTACAATTTGAATTCATTGGAAGTGGGAGGTAATCAGACTTCTTACGGCATGGAGTTCCACATGCAATCTGCCACCATAAAGGTCAGATCCACACCATACATTTAAAACACATGACTTACCCCAAAGGAGAAGGGGGGCAGGTGGCGCTGTGGTCTAAACCACTGAGCCTAGGGCTTGCCGATCAGAAGGTCAGCGGTTCGAATCCCCGAGACGGGGTGAACTCCCATTGTTCGGTCCCTACTCCTGCCCACCTAGCAGTTCAAAAGCACGTCAAAGTGCAAGTAGATAAATAGGTACCGCTCCAGCGGGAAGGTAAATGGCGTTTCTGTGTGCTGCTCTGGTTCACCAGAAGCGGCTTAGTCATGCTGGCCACATGACCCAGAAGCTGTCTGTGGACAAACGCCGGCTCCCTCGGCCTATAGAGTGAGATGAGCGCTGCAACCCCAGAGTCATCCGCAACTGGACCTAACGGTCAGGGGTACCTTTACTTTTACCCTTTACCCCAAAGAAACCTAAGAACTATAGTTTGTTAAGGGTGCCAGGAATTGTGAGGGGTAAACTACAATTTCCATGATTCCTTGAAGGGGCAGGAAATGTGTTTTAAATGTGTGGTGTGTACACAGTTGTTGAAGGATGATGTAAGACTTAATGTGTATTGCTATTAACCTTATTACTGTTTGGGGAAAAACTCGTGTGAAATTCCAGTGGACTCCAGTGGAACTCTAGTGCAGAGTTAAAATATCACATGTCTTTTGTTACAAGGGAGAAAGCAGACAATCTCCGGTCTCCTAGTTTAGCCATCCCATTCTCTCCAACATTTGCTCCAATGCACTTGCCTGCAGGGCTGACACATATATGATTTCTTACGGGCTTAGCAGCTGGAACATCTGCTGTTATGCTCTTATCTTCTGATTTACCATAGCCTGTCTTAGGACTGGGCTTGGGAATCTCAGTTTGCTTGGTTCATTCATGACAGGACATTTGCACAAGGTCCCATATGCTGAACTCTGGTAAAAGTGTTGAGGTTTGATTGATGCTTCCTTGCACAATGCAGCCCAAAGTATTTTTACTGAGAAAGTTTCATGGAGTACAGTGTACAATATTCCTATCCATGTATGCTTGGAACTGTGGTCGACATCTCTTTTGCACGTAGTGCAAACCAAAATCTCATCCAAACTTAAGAACCCAACAAAATTAGTGCAGCTAGAACATAATTTCACTGAGGTCTTTGCTCCTCTTATTGTATGTTCTAAATCAAAATTCAACCCAGATCTGTGTATACTTCCCTGCAAGTAAATCTCATAGAATACAATGGTGCTTCCTTCCCATTAAATGTGCATATGGCTGCAGCCTTAACCTTCAGGAGAAAATACGCAAAGTGCTTTCCAGAGAGTTTGCTATCAGTCCAAATCTCCCTAACGCTCTCCAAGATCAAACTACTTTTGCAAGTTTAAAGCAGACATTGGTTGTGCATGGTGCTGCTGGCTGGCTGGCCTCGCATGATAATATCAGGAAAGCCTGTCAACTCCCTGGAGCAGTTTTGCACTAACATTCCCCTTTTTAAAAATCAAGAAGAGATAAATGAATGGATAGAGGCAGAAACACTCTTGTGTTGTTTTTAGAGGGGCAGTCTTCAACTCACTTTTACTCAGACTATACCCATTGGAATTAATGGACCTAGCTTAGTCATGTTCATTAGTTTTGATGGCTTTACTCTGAGTAAAATGAGTAGACAATCACCCATGATATCTATAAAAATAGGGATGGATGGGGGACCTGTGACCCTACAGATACTGTGGGACTTCAACTTCCACCAACCCTAACCCTTGACCATCGTGGCTGGGGACTGATGGGACTTGGAGTCCAACAATATCTGGAAGACCACCGGCTCTCCATCCCTCTCTTAAAAGGCAGAGCACCTGCCTGATGTGCAACTGAGCCAGCAATCAATTTCCTGGCATGTACTTGGTTCATGTGCAAAGTTGGGGGTGATCTTGCAAGCTGAGCTCTGAGCTCTCTTTATGCAATGCAGAACTTCAGTCTTCCTCTGGTAGGCTGCTCTCTCTATGCCTGGAGCAATGGCCCCTTCATTTTTCCTCAATGCAGTTTCTCTCCTCTCTTTGGGTCTTTGTTTCCAAATTCTCAGAGAAAGAGCTCATTGCTATGTTCTGCACATAGCCTATGGCACCTCCTTCATTTGTCTTCTTTGCTAGAAAGTTGCCATCCGCCAACTGGAGCCAGGTGCCAAACAGTGACTCAGGTGGCTGGACATAAGCTAAGGAATAGGGTGCTTCTGAGCACATGCTCAGACTATTTATTATCAGTATGCACAAAAGCCCTTTCACACATAAATCAACATCTGCCTTCCCCAGCCCCCAAACCACTTTTATTTGATAAAGCAAATTCTGTACACACTGCACATTTAAAGCACATGGCTTCTCTCCCCCTTGCAAAATTCTGGGAACTGTAGCTTACCCAGCACCCTTATGGAACCACGGTTCCCAGGAGTCTTTAAAGGATGTCGTGTGGTTTGACTGTATGGTGTGTATGCCGCCTTAATTTGGGGAAGGGGAAACTTTTTGGTCGTTGCAATTGTTACAGTGCCCGAATTATAAACATTTGCCGATTTCCTGCAAATCACTCATGATCTCGCTTCTGCGCACCCTTGCTGTACATCATCTAGCACACTGGTGCTGCTGAAATATAGGTGCTCAAGAGTAACAAAACAGGCCCAGCAGCTGTTCGGCTTACCAATCTTAAGAGTCTTCATAAAAAAGTATCACCTTCTTGGCATGTTGTCAGAGTTGAAGGTTTCAAAGCCAGACAGCAATAAAACCAAGCAGGTTTTGCAGTTATTGCGGTATAATGAGCTGTTGTCTTGTGTGCACATATGCTCTAAGCATCACATGCAAACGTTGGTTACTACCGTGTTGTACTCTCACATGTACATGGGTGTGTGAGTGGGTGTGCTGTGAATGTGGATGCATACTCACTTGGCCAACACAGTGAGATCTTTCCCTAACTGGTGGCAACATTCAGTGTGATGGACTGAGCGAAAATGGGAGCCGCCCATGTAGGTCAACAAGACAAGATTCATTTAAGATATAACTTGTTATTGTCACTGAAATGTCTGAGACTGAGTTGACAATTATTTTTCCTTTTAACTCAACGCTTCATGAATTTGCCTGTCCCATTCAGAATGATTGCACTCCCAAAAGCATACCTGAGCATGTTTAGGCATTGAAGAGCTGCCAACTGTGCTAAATTAGAAAACATCCAGAGGCAGAGACAAGTTGGATCCTGACTATTAACACCACCAACACACACACTTTTGCAAAACAAACAACATGGTTCTATGAAGATAATTCCCACTGAGATTAACCTGGTACAGTACAGAGATAATTCCTTGATACAGTACGGGGATTTCCGTTCCCAGTGCAATATAACATGGAGCCGTTGATAAATGCACACCCACCATGTTGTATGGTATTTATATTTAGGATGTAGGTCTTGTGTAATTCTAAAAGGGTAGTAGTATATGTTGTGTAGGTATATTGCAATAATGGAACGTTTGATGTAATATCCGTAATACAGTGGTACCTCTGGTTGCGAACGGGATCCGTTCCGGAGCACCGTTCGCAACATGAGCAGAACACAACCCGTGTCTGCGCGTCTGTGCATGCATGGGTCGCGATTTTCCGCTTCTGCGCATGCACGTGATGTCATTTTGAGCATCTGCGCATGCGCGAGCAGTGAAACCCAGAAGTAACCCTTTCCGGTACTTCCAGGTTGCTGCGGGACGCAACCTGAAAACGCTCAATCTGAAGCAAACGCTACACGAGGTATGACTGTATATCTCTTTAAAAGATAGGATTAGCATGTCTGTCTCTACTGGGTGTTATTATAAGTAGTTAAATATGAAGCTGGCAATGTTGTTGGAAGGAAAGCAAAGTAGCCTTGTTTAGGGCGATAGGTCTTTTGGAGCTGTAATGGATGGAATGTATTTTGAGGTGAGCA